TATATTTAATAAATTTAAAAAATATTTATAAAAATAAAGGTTGTAAAATTAATTATGATTAAATTAGTATAAAAATTTGATGAGTAATAAGGAATTTAAAAAAAATAGATTTTTAAAATTTATTAAAGGAATTAGGCAAAAATTTTATTATAATTATTATTTAGTAAAGGTTAAGTTCACCTGTTTAATAAAAACATGGTTTTATGATTATATTTTAAGATTTATTCTGCTCAATGATAATAGATTAATTATTAAATAGCCGCAGTATTTTGATTGTGCAAAAGTAGCATAATCAATTGTCTTTTAATTAAAGACTGGAATGAAGGAATGAATGAAATTTGAACTGTCTATAATAAAAAATTTAAATTTATATTTTAAGTTAAAATGCTTAAATGAAATTATGGGACGAGAAGACCCTATAGAATTTTACATAAATTTTTAAATAATTATATGAGTAAAAAATTAAATTTAAAATTATATTTTATTAGGAGGATAATTAAATTAATTTAACTTTTGTTAATTAATAATATTATATGTAGATTCTGCGGCTTAATATCTCTGTGGCAGATACCCAACGAGTGGATGTACGCCAACGAACGGAACAGTTGATACATATATAGCTGCAAAAAAAAAATCAAAGCTTATCTTCATCTCTTTTATACTATATACTATATATATACAATATGTTATGACATAAGTTTACAAAATTTTTTTCTGTTCGACTATTAAAATTTTACATGATTTGAGTTAAGATCGGTGTAAGCCAGATCGGTTTCTATCTATAATATATGAAAATAATTTTGTACGAAAGGACTAATTATTTTAAATAATTTTTTTATTTAAATTAATGAATAAAGTTAAAAATTTAAATTATTTATTTATTAAGTTTAATTTATTTTAAAAAAAATTAAATAATTATTATTATTATTATAAAAATATAAATAGTAAAAATTGATAAATATTAATTAATATATAAAATTAAAATTACTTTGGCAGATAAGTGTATTAAGTTTAGAATTTAATTAATATATATATAAAATATTAAAAATATATAAGTAATAATTTTATATGAGTTTTATCAGTATATTAAATTAAATATATTAAATTTATTAATTTTATTAATTATATTATTAGTAGGAGTTGCATTTTTAACTTTGTTAGAGCGTAAAATTTTAGGATATGTACAAATGCGAAAAGGTCCTAATAAGGTTAGAATTATTGGAATATTTAATTTATAAATTATGATAATTTTACAGAAGATAAATTATTTTTATTAAAAATAATTTGTTTATCACTCTTAACTAAATGCAAAATGCAATAAGCTTATTACACGAAATCCGAAAAACGAAGTATATTCGTAAGTTCCTTTTTCACGCACTTTAATCTAACTGAATAGTCCGTGTGTCAAAAAAATTATGTTTTACTACTACTCGCACGATATATATATATAGAATGTCCCCAAAACAGAGCGCGCACGCATGAGCTATTATTTCTCTGAAATTTACATTCAACGGATACGATCATATTCTACAATGTACATTAGATTAATATGTGAAACCTTTACATATATTTATATAAAAAAGTATTTTAAAAAATAATTAATTTCATTTAAAAAAAAAACAAATTTTATTTTTTTTATTTAAATATTTTTTCCCGCAAGTTAAAAACTCGTATTAATGAAGTTTGCAATTTTTCAAAGAATACTCACTCCAAATGGTTGTCCTGACATCTTCGAACCATTTAAAAGTGTAACAGAAATACAACATGCTCATGTGAAGAAGAATAATGGATACGACATTCCACCACTTTAACTCCGTCTTGAACTTGAACAATCCTTCAGACTTTATACGTGTTTCGTTTTGATTCTGCATACCATTTTCATCATCCGTCGTGGTGACTGAAGATTTCTCTTTTTGAAAATCTTCCTTTGCGTGCATTTCAAGACTCGTGCTTATGATATTGGGTGCCATTTCCGTTTATAAAAATCACTAAACCGATAATTCAAAATATTATTTTTATATTACCAATAAGAAGTAGATTGTTACTTCCTTTTTAGAAATTGGTTACAAATTAAAATTTGCTTATTCGAATTAACAAATGATACAGTTTAGTGCATAATTAAAAAAAAAATTAAATGTTGAATAACAATAATATTGTAGAGGGCTAATAGAAGCCGTGCGCAAGATAGAGGACGCAAAATAAATCTAAAGATTAAAATTAATAATTCAATATATAAACGTTTCGGTCCATCTTCTGGCCATCTTCAGTATAGATATAAAATGTCAAAAGTTGTCCATGAGTTACATATAAAAGAAAAGGTTAAAAGTCGTCAAACTCGGAGTTTAACCTTACGTCTATTATGCGCTCCACATCCTCAAGTGAAGCTTAATAATAGACGTAAGGTTAAACTCCGAATTTGACGACTCTTGACTTTTTCTTTTATATGTGACTCATGGACAACTTTTGACATTTTTATATCTATACTGAAGATGGCCAGAAGATGGACCGAAACGTATATATATTGAATTATTAATTTTAATCTTTAGATTCATTTTGCGTCCTCTATCTTGCGCACGGCTCCTATTAGCCCTCTACAATATTATTGTTATTTAACATTGTGAGCCTTCAGGATTATTATTAAATGTTGAAATTTGTCTTTTACTATTCTGCCTGTTTTCTTGATATTGTACTATTATATTATAAACTATAATAAAGATTCATTCTTGATATATGTATAAAAAATGGCTTTGTTTAATCACAGTTATAAGTAATCATTAGTTATAAAATTCGTTATTTTATTATTACAATACATGATTAAAGACTTAAATATCATTAAATTAAACCCATTCTATAAGCTTCTATAGCAATTTGTACAAAATGTTTATATAACAATGAGCGCATAGTTTAGAAAGACGTCTTTTGAAAAAATTATATTGATTTATATGAAACATTTTAGCTCGTACCTAAAAATTTTTCTTGACATCCAATGGTGCTTGTTACTCACAGGTTTGAATCACATAACTGCATCGTTTTTTCGAGTTGCATTACTGTGCGCATTTACAAATTGCATTGTCAGCACATTGCTTCATTTAAAACATTCGATATGACTTAATACGCGAATATTGCAACAAATGCAACAAAGCAAATATACATTATTTAAATATTTGAGCCTGTCAAGTTCTATATCTACGCCTCTGGTTGAGATGAGAAGTTAATTTTTGTATGTTTAATACATCTACAACTTAAGCCTATCGCACAATGCAAAGGTACAGGCAATAGGAACAGGGAATAAGACAAGCAACAGAAATAACCACATTTTAACTTACCAGAAACTGTGTATCAATGCACAATGGAATATAGAATAGACAATAAGAAATCCAACGGGTCGGAAATTTTACTCGTATTGCCTATTCCATATTCCATTGTGCATTGATACACAATTCCTGGTAAGTTGAAATGTGGTTATTTCTGTTGCTTGTGTTATTGCCTATACCTTTGTATTGTGCGATAGGCTTTAAACTACACACAAATTTCATTGCATTATTTTCCTTCGTTTAACAAAAAAAAAATTTTTTCGAAAAACTTTAACGCCCTGTATCTTGGAAACGAATAGAAATGGCTTTTCAAGGTAAGTGTCACACACACACACACACACACACACACACACACACACACACACACACACACACACACACACACGCACACACACACACACACAAACATGCACATACACACATAGTATCTAAATTATGTAATCATTGTGATTAATAATTGTGAAATCTGAAATATCCTGGCAAAACTAAGCAG